GAAAACGATCCAGTCCCAATAATGTTCCTGGTTCCAACAGCAAATTCATACTTGGTGTTGGGAGTGAGGCTATAGACAGTAAATGTGGTCGCATTGCCTGGCCTAACATCTATCTTTTTCCACTCTTTGTCTGTCTCCTCGGCTTTCTTATACCTGATAATAAATACACGTAGAGATGTTTACGAATGCAAAGAGAATACTGTGTTGTTGTTAAAGCGCAATTCTCATTCACAAACGAAGTGATCCAACCGACATACTTTTAAGCAGATGGTTAGCCGATCGAAAGAAAGGAAGAGCGAGATCTTTTACAACAAAGAGGTAACATTATCAGTGCGTCATATTCTGGTCTATATGACCAGCTTCTCAATCATTACATTGACCAATCTGAAGATGCTAAGGACAGTTCTCTAACCTACCATCAACTCAACCAGATGTATATAGGTGCAGTCTCAACCAGAAAACCACAAGAAACGTGAAACTGATAATATTGAGTACACATACCACAGAACATAAGACTGCGGATGGCCACCATCAAAAGCTGGAACCCAGCGTATGGTGGCTGAGAACACAGCAGTTGACACTGTGACATTCATTGGAGCATGTGGAGTTGTATCTGCAGGGCACAAATATAAATTACTGTTTCCACGATTCAAAAGCAATGCTGCAAACAACATAAACATTGTTAAATTAGAATCATATAGCTTAGAAACATGTGTAAAATTTTATATAATTTACAAATGCAGCAATTATAGCATAACTACCCCATGAACTAGTAAAACATGGCACTGTTTAAAATTGTAATCTTACCGTGAAAGCCCACATCGACAACGCAGCCCACACAATTTAATACTGATTAAACTTTACATGATTAAAATCGAAAACATATATTATTAATTTCCTGCTAAAATAGTGAGAATGTTTGATGAAGTGAGTACGTACGTAGCACCATGAGTCTGGCTGTTGCAACAATAGTGAGTACTGGACTGGAGGCAAGACAGTCATACTCCCCATTATCTTCTTTTTTCATGTTGAAGATTGTCAGATTTCCATTGGTGATGGCCCAACGTTGGGGTGGTAATGGTAACCCACCAGCCTATTATACCAGAAATAATCAATTAAAAATATACGGCAAGTGTATACTTCTTTTATGCGATTGCATCTGCTTTTGCATCCAAAGACTGTGTTCAGTGCATGTAATTTTATTTGAATTATATGCAAAAAAAAATTAATAAAAATCAATATTATTAATAATGCATGTACTTGCATCCAGGTACAGTTAAATCGCTTGTTATCATTCGAGATTTGTTAAATGCTAATGCTTTTATAATGATCACGGGGGAACATTTCATCCCACGAATGGTACAGGCCACTGATGTTGCCAGAAAAGGAACAGGGAGCAATTAAGCAGGGAGCTACGGCCTACAACAACCATCCCTCGCCGAAATTGTAAAATTCGAATTAAATTGTAATTTAATTTGATACGCCGAATGCCTAAGTTGCATTAAATCAAAGACGGAATAGATACGGTGTATAAAATTTTATCAAATACGATACGGTCTTTGACTAAATTATTGGACGGTGCTGCCACCTGTCGCCTAACGGGCAACTTACCCGCTTCCACTGTACTGTTGGGGCTGGATCCCCTGTGGCCGCACATGGCATTATCACTTCACTGCCCTCTGTTCGTTGGTACACTGGTGCTGGCCCCACTACAAAGCGTGGTGGATCTGCATAAAAAATAACAACCGACGAAATCAGTAATTACTCAATTTCTAATCAGAGATACAGTCTATATATGATACTACCAGCAGCTGCACTATAACCATACAGTGTATGAATTCAATGGTGGTAGTTGTATACGCACACGCACGCACGCACGCACGCACGCACGCACGCACGCACGCACGCACGCACGCACGCACACACACACACACACACACACACACGCGCGCACACACACACACACGCACACACACACACCACACGCACGCACGCACGCACGCACGCGCACATGTATACAAAACTCATCCTGTGTCATCAGTACTACGACTTAGAATATTAATCAATATTTCATTAACTGTGATGTATATAGTTATTGCAATAAACTAAATTTGTTCGACCATCCGGTCTTTATCACAGCTAGTTCAAGAACACTGAAATGATTCTAATATTCAGCTGGAAATTACATTAAACAAAAACATTAAAGTTGTCATGGCTAGTGAAAACAAAGCAAACCCGTGTAACTGAGTAAGTTGATAATTCGCTTGATGAATCTGCTTTCGTTTTATGGTGCGAACTAAAGGAGTTATTGTGACAAGTCTCTTTAAGCTTAGCCCTAAAAATTGGCTTCATCACTTGTATGCATGTTGTCTAGAGTTGCTCTAATGAGTTTCTGACAGGAAGAGTTAATAAATGGTATTATATTAACTTAAAAATCTTTTGGTGGATAAAATATCAAGAATATATATATATATATATATATATATATATATGTATATAA